TCCCATTTTTGCTCAATTCCGCTCATCTGTGGCTCTTCAACAGTGTTGAGTGCTCCAGAATTGACAAAAATGCTATCTTACAGCACTGAATAGTCTGCAAGTCATCAACCATATGGGAGGAGGTCCTGCTACTCTCCGATTAATCTACGCAAAATTTTGGGTGTCACACATGACCCGGCCCATCTACGAAATCCAAAGTTCGAATTTCTGTCATGGGTCACAGCGCCGGAGAATTGATCGAAATAGTACAGTAGCATAAGCGGGACAAAAGGTACATCAGTGTCTGGACTCGGATTGGACTCGGAATCCAATCCAACTAAATGCGGCAATGTCTGAACATCCCGTTTCCGTAATTGTGTATTTGTAATTTTGTATTGCTTCTCAGACTGTCGACCCCGAGTGACTAGATCTCGACCAAGGGATTTAACTTGGTCGCATGCTCACCAATTTTGTCATGTCCACGCAAAGCCAGTCTAGCATTTACGAACAACTTGAATGATGTGCCTTTAATTGAAATGGCCAGTCCTTTGGACTTGCTGCTTACATCTGAACAAGTTGCATTAATATTTCACAGCGTTCGGATGGTGGCCAATTCAGAGAATTGGTCGCGAGGGTAAATTGAATGTTTATTTCAAGTAGTAACCTACCAATACTGGCTTCCTATGTACCCACCTCGCAGAGATGAATGAGTGTTGAAAGACAGGGAGGATCGGTGAGGGTTGAAGGTTGAGGGAGAGGGACATAGAGTGGGAGGGTATGAGGGATGTGGAACATGAAAGAAGAGCAGCGAAAAACACAGCGCAAAAACACACACTGTTCCCCTATCTCACTGGCAGCACAACCCACACATCTGAGGGGTGTCTCACATCCTTTTAAATCCGCTGCTTCGTGGGGTGCAGGCAGGACCCGTGTACCGTTCACGACCCCTCCCTCGATTACGTGGTAATGGCGAAGACACTGCCAGCGGGAAGGCCGATGAGAAGGATGAGGGTTGCAAGGAGGGTAGACTGTGCACAGTGCAGGTGCCCATGCGAGTGTTAGTCGCAGTACGGCCGAGATCTACGATCCAGGACAAGGAGGTGGAGAGCAGTGAGATGGAGTACATGGAATCGAGAGAACACAGTGTGAGCCTCCACTATGTGTCGAGTCTGGTGACCGCCCAAATGTGCAACAAGAATAAAGAGGAGACCGAAACAAGCGGGTCATAAAACAATAGTGCGGACGGATAGCAGAGAGAAACTTCAAAACGGACACCTTCAACAAATGGACATAAAGGACTTGCGGGATAAAAACACCAGCGGAACTTCCAATAATACACAGTGACATAAGTGTTGGTAAAGGTGACACTGGCAATCCACACCGCCATTTGAGACCGCTGCATAATGCGACTCTGTTCACATAGAATCCCCTGTTCTTGCGTCCCCGCTCCCCTTGTTCGTATTTCTCTGCCGTGCTACACACTTCGCACTTCGATTGCACCACCTCCACAACACCGCTTTAAAGTTTGCTCGCGCACCCGCTCGCTGTTTCTGCCTTTCCGCCTTGCGCCGCTCGCTTGTATCCCTTCACCCGCACGCCCGCTCGCCACATTTCCACCTTGCACCGCTGGCTGTTTCCCGTGCATCGCTCACTGCCTTTCCACCTTGTGCCGCTCGCTGTTCCCTTGCCCCGCCTCACCAACTTCACTTGCACGCTCTCCGCCTCGCACTTCCCCCTCCACCTCACCTCACCTCTGCCTCGCCTCGCTTGGTGCCGAACGTGATAAAAACAGGTTATAGGACGAGTAGGGTATGGATATGGAGCTCGGAGAACGGCCGTCAAGGAGGAGTAGACCAACCAAGTCAAGAATGGTACTGATACAACGAGGAGAGGAATTCCGTCAAGGAGGAGTAGGCCAACCAAGTCTAGAATGGTACCAATATGACGAGGAGATGAACTCTGTCCAGGAGGAATAGGCCAACTAAGTCAAGAATGGTATCAATATGACGAGGAGATGAACTCCGTCCAGGAGGAATAGGCCAACCAAGTCAAGAATGGTATCAATATGACGAGGAGATGAATTCCGTCAGGGAAGAATAGGCCAACCAGGTCAAGAATGGTACCGATATGACGAGGAGATGAACTCCAACAAGGAGGAATGGGCGAAACAAATCAAGAACAACACCAACACAACAACGGCAGTGAAAGAATTCAACCAACTCGAGAACTGCGCTGTAAAATGGTCTCCGCACTGGAAAGGAGATAACCAACTCAAGGAAAAGTAACAGGACAAAGGAGAAATGGGTTCTATGACACAAGAGGAGCTTGACCAGGCTGATTGCGGTGCTATAGGAGTACCTCCGTCAACAGGCACTTCACCAGCAAAGGAGAGGAGGAAAGCAGACTCCTTCAGGCCAAAAGGGGGTAGGAGCTACCTTGTGGGCTGAAGGCTGTGACTAGAATGAAGAACGCATGTCGGGACGATGTGCCGGTGGCTGGGCAAAGAGTATAAAAACCTAGTGTATTATTTGAGAATGGCATCTTGTATTTCCCCATCTAAAATCCTAAGGCTTTCACAAGCCGAGAAATAAACTCTTCCTCCGTCTTCGGACACGAGACGGACACAAACCGAAGTACCACAAAATACAGGTTAACCCAAGACCCGGAGTGCAAGGAGTGGCCAATTAGTCGCTTCCGGTAGGGAACTCCGACCAGAAAAGGGACCAGGTCATATAGGAGATCCTGAAAACGATAAAACACCACGAGGTGGAGTGGTATCTAAACAGCCAGCAACAGAATTTCTGTTAGCGTGTAACTGTTCCGACTGAGTAGTATCGGAAGGCAAAACGGTCTTTGACTTGGGACAACTTGGAGAAATCCAGTCCTCATAGCCATCTACCAACCGGTACGGTCACCTCGTCAGCGAATATCTCGCCTCGAGGTTCAAGTGGAGACATAAAGAAAGGGGTCCCAAAGGAAGGGAATTGCAGAGTTTAGGCTATGAGATTCGAAACAGGCCCTGAGGTCCCGCACATTAAACAGAGAAGAAGATCAAAACAGAGAAATAAAACCGCAGCGCAGAAAATCCCACCCACTTCACAGAGCAAACACCCAGAGGAAGAAACACGACTCTATCCACGACTCCTCCCGTCCTCCCTCGAAAGGAGTCTGTATAGGATATGCAACCGAGTTATCGGACCCTGGAAGGCTGAAAAGGAGCGAACTCCACACCCCCCAGCGCACCAAGGCTTCTCAGTGCTCCGTGCTGAAAGCCTGTAAATAACAGATCCTGCCCACCCATCTAAAGATCTATCCCTTATAAACTTAACCCATCGTACTTCGGAGGAATAAAAACCACCCGACACTTGCTACACAAATCTCCCCCTAGAGGACGATACCTTTTCTGCAGTACTGTACCCACAGACGTAACATTCATCTGACAGTCAAGAAACCGCAGTCTGCATCACAACGGGAAACGTGGGAGAATTTGATGAGCGCCCATGATGCTATGCACAGGCCAGGGCAGGCAAGGCAGGCTCCCGCATCCAGGCATGTCCTCCGCGCAGTTGCACCTGGGGCGGGGGCGAGTCGGTAGGGTCTGTGGGGCCGGTCCAGGTTGGGTTGATACTAAACGGCGTCGAGGTGCTGCCTGTTCCGCTGATGGTGCTATTTGCAGCCGATGTTGAGCCTGGGGCCCATGCAGAGGACCATGACCGCGAGCTCGAAGACATGGAGAGAAGAGGGAAGAGTAGAGCAGAGAGGTCAAGGGGTGGATGATAGGCAATAAATGCCGGTGTCGGTGTTGTTAAGGAGCAATAGCTGAGCCTTAGAGAATGTTGCCGGCGATGAGGACTAGACTCTAGAGCGTTGGCGTCGTCGTGGGCAGCATCGAGGAGCAAGGTGGCGACGTCGACAACGAGGACAATAGAAACAAAAGACCGTGACTTGTGTCAGCGATGTGACAGTATAAATGACGTTGTCTCATCACTCGCGGCAATCCACTCTGTTCGGCAACTGCCTTTTTGGGTCTTTGGTCTCTCTCAACCACGTTTCTGAATAAGCACCGAGGTGGCTGCGCAGACGACTCCAGTATCTCTTTCTCTCCAGCTCCCAACGATCGAGTTGCCCAACCATAATCGGTTTGAATTCAGCCGATCGGCCTGAGGAGGCTTTTTTCACCCCCTGATTGGCATTCTTTTGGCATGAAAATGTCCCGCATTCAGCCAACCTGGAAATGGGGTATTAAGTAATGATGCACACGGGATTTTCCTTGCAGTTTTTCACAAGGCCCTTAACCCCGAAGTCCTTGTTCGAATCGAGGTACTGCTCTGCAGCGGGCACAACACATCTTTTTAACTAAATCTGCTGAATTTCTAGTACTCACCCATCTCGAAACTGGGTAAAACCAGCAGTATGGTGTAATCCTGCACGCGTGATTTTCTTCATGATTAATCTGAAGTGTAATGCCCAAAGTCCTTGTTCGAATCAAGGTCCTGCCTTTCTCTCGCTGCCTTGTGTTTTTTTTGAAAAGAAATTGGATGAATTGCAGGCAACCTACCAACTTTGAAACTGGACAAAGAAAGTAGTATGGTGTAATACTGCACGCAGGAACCCCATTTCCAGTAGTCAATCCGAAGAGAATATATTCCTGAGATACTTGTTCGAACCAAGGTACTGCTATGATCATGGTGCAACATAGATTTTCAACAAAATTCCTACAAATCTTTAGCACTCCACCCACCTCGAAACTAGGCGAGCAAAGCAGTATGGTGTAATGTTGCACCCGGAATTTTCTTGCAGTGGCGAAAGCCAGATATACTTCCCGAGGTACTTGTTCGAATCAAGGTACTGCTCTTCGTCGTTGCTACTCACTTTTTTTTTTGTACCAAACTCCTCTGCATCGCTGACACTGGACAGACCTGGAAAGAGGGTGAAGGAAAGTACTATGGTGTAATGCTGCACACAGGAATCTCATATGCGGACTCTCTGGCACTCCACCGACTTTGAAACTGGGTACGAAAGGCAGTATGGTGTAATGATGCACACAGGGTTCTCTTACCATGTTTGAAGATGAGAATAATATATTCCCGAAGTCCTTGTTCGAATCAAGGTACTGCTATTCATTTTCCTACTCCATTTCTTTTTTGGCACAGAATTTCTCTGAATCTTAGCACCACACCCACCTCGAAACAGGGCAAATAAACCAGTACGGTGTAATGATGCCCACGGATATTCTTACGCCGATAGGAATACAGATGTAAGGTCCTTAGGTACTGCGTCCATTAACATTTTTTTTCTGGCATAAAATTCCTACAAATTTATGACAATCCACAAATCTCAAAACTGGGTAAGAAAAAAAGTATGGTGTAATGTTTCACGCGGGATTTTCTTGAGCGTTCAAGCTGAAGTGTAATTCCCGAGATCCTTGTTCGAATCAAGAACTGCTCTACGGCCTTTTCCGGTCTTTTGTCTCAACCACGTGTCTGCTGAATACTGTCAAACGACCACTGATCATTCATGGAACTTCTCTTCCTTCCTCGCCTTCCTGCGTCTACATCTGCACTTTCATCACCGCTCGTCCTTCCGCGCTCTTCTGGTGCTCCCATTTCCTTCATTTATTTCCTCGGGATTTCCCTGGACCTTTTTACCACTCCATCTTGCGTGAATCCTTCATGCCCTGACTTCCACTCAGCCGGAGACCGACCACCCTCTTTGGATATCCTGCAACTCGATGCTAGGACTGCGAGCGGGTACAAGTCCGGATGATGGCAACGCTCTTGATCCGAAGCGTACTACCATATTGGGACCCAAGTTGGGACCCACTCTCCGCCGCCCATTGATACATCCAGTGCACGCACCCTCGGTGTGCAGCCTGCTTCATATCCATAATCTGCGCTGCCTTTCTTTTTGCCAGTTGCCCTAGGTTCGTCCGGCCAGTCTAATGCACGCAAAATGCCAGTGATGAAATGCCCACTATCTTTAGTAGTGTATCTTAATGCGTCCTACGATGTCTGCCAAAAGAGACTAGTCTATACGTGACAACTACTCTCTGTCTACTTGAATACCCCGAGAGCCAGTAATCCCTTCAATCCGACCTGCCAACGATCAAAGTCTGTTGGACGCCCAGCATACATGTTCAAAAGCTCAGACACTATGCCTGAGGCAGCATTTACTCGGATCCCGCCTGTATGGGTCAGCTCCATCAGACTTTCAACATTTCCTGTGGGCGGAGCTCACGAAATTTAGAAAATTCTGCTAATATTCCGGGCACTATCATGGCTGTGTCCTGGCGTCGAAGTAGGAGTGTCCAAATATCGGCCTTGAGGACATCTTGTTGGAACTGAGCTGTGGTACTATGGTATGAGGACGCGGAAATCTGAGAATTGCCAACATTTAGATATACCGTTAGCAGCAAAATGTTTGACGATCGAAACAGCGCTTTGCAAAACGGCAATGTTCGAGCTACGAAGGAGTAAAACAAGTTTATCTGTGTCGTCAGACGAAAACGAAAACGATCTAACGGCTTTTTGAGAGAGAAGAATACTGCATCTGAACCGGAATCTTACGAAGGCAGTTTCATGATTAGTTCGGTATATGATTTTCGCAGGTGAGGATTTGCGTCGGACATCTCTTGGAGTGGTTGTCGGATCAATACTGTCCCTGATACCGCGACATCGATAGCTAATGATGGCAGTCAATGTCGAGCACAACCATAATCATGAATTTGAAATACGTTGTTCAAGTAAACTCTCTATCAGCTGTAGAATGTGGGTGTCGCCGTCCCCACCATCAAGCATTTCCACAAGGTGCACTATTGAACTCGTTGTCGAAAGAATAGCCCTGGCATTCTCTGGAAAGTGATTCAGTTTTCGTTGGAGTGGGCGATTTTGGGAGAAAAGACGCTACCGTGCTTCAATAACGAGCGAAGACATTTGAGGGCTCCTTCTCGAACTTTGAGGTCAGGATCCACTAGGAGGACGCAAATGTTATGCGTTGTCTGCGGGGTTGATACGAGATTGGCCATTTCGACTGGTAGGATGTCATCCCAATGGCAAACCGCGCACTATCGAAGCATACCACTTTCCGCAAAATATTCCATAGCACAAACCACGGACTCGCGTAAAAGCGGGCTATTATGTGGAGTCTCTAGTAGCGAGATGATTTTCCTCATCGTTTCAGGTGTTGAAATCAATTTGTTGAGGAGTTCTGATATGCTTAGATCGGGCCACCCAATAATCAGGGACTCACTGTGTTCTGCGAGATTGACAATGCTTTCTACTGTGTGTTTTTGTACATCTAGGCTGGGGTCTCCGAGACTTGAAAGGACCTTTGGGAGCATCCCCATTTTCGCAATTGCATCCCGAACAGCTCCTACAGATAGTTGAGTCTGAGGGCCAGAACCAATTATGGTCAGCACCACGCCTCACCGTCTTGAGAAAGAGCAACAACCACATCAAGAGCACCGCTCCGAACCGACGGCCTCTGATCCCCCAGGTGTGCGCCTATATTCTCCATCATTTTGGGTTGCGCCAGCGCTAGGCAAAGTTCGGCTAATGAGGTTTGGTGGGATGAGAAAGTAAACACATCGGAAAGTGAATAAATACCCTCGCACAACATGCCGTCAATAACCTTAAGAAGGCCCTTTTTAAAGTCTCTCGACCCTCCCAACATCGATATAATTGCTTCAATCGTAGACATTGCTGTGTGGTCAGGGTCTGAGCAATAGTTAGCACTCCCGCGATAGAACAAAGAACTCAGTAAAATAACTATGCATCGAAATTCCCACAAGGGCTTCGACTATGTGTTGGCGCGTGTCGCCACTTTCATCAACCACTAGTGAGAGGATCTTCTGAAGGACAACGGGTGCCATAATCACTTCGCGAACGTCATCTGTACAGCATCAGCACAGCGGGCCCTAAGATCGATGAAAATCTCACTGTAGGCAGCTAAACTAGCAACGGCACTCGGTATGGCTTGACGCACGTCTTCATTTACATCAACGAGAACTGCAGCAATCTTCTCCATTGCGTCTGGGGAGGTAATGAACTCGCGAACTTCAGCTGCTGAGAGGTTAGCTTTAAAAATATATTCCTGTGAATGACAATGCTTACGGTATTCAGAAAGGGCAACAATGGCCTGGAGCGCGGCACGTCGTACACTATTATGCTGGTCGGCTAGCAACGATAAAATCTTTTGAAGCACGGGGAGCTTCGAAATGTTCTGCCTAACCACATCTGAGGCCGATTTGAGTATTGGTCGGGTGAAACATATATAAATTTTACCCATACCGTGTTTCGATAAGACCACAATAGCTCTTGGTGCTGCTTCTCGTACGTCATTTTCCTTATCTTCCATCATAGACAAGATATTCTGCAAAATCTGGGGTTCGGTGACCACCATGGCGCCGGTACCTGATGGTCATTGAGATGCAAAGATATGCCAAGTTGGTACGCATAGTTACTATTATTCTCAAGGGCAACAAGGGCCCTGAGAGCCCATGCCCTCATCCTGGAATCTGAGTCTCCCAGTAACGATATGATTTTAGACACTATCTCTGGTGCGGCAGTGACCGCTGCGATCTCCTCTGTGTGAGTTCAGTCTGGAATGGTTGCATCGATGCAGAAGGTCTCACTGTAGTTCAAGAAGGTGATGATACTCTGAATGGCTGTGTGTCTTAGGTCTGAATTCCCATCATCCAGCATTTCGACAATTTTTTGTAGCCCATCGCCGATGGACAGACTCCCACGGGCATCATCTGTATGGAATTGAGTACGGGATATTGGTGGTAGATTTACACGCCTACTATGCTTTGAGACGGCAACGATAAACCGAAGTGTGGCTCGGCGAACTCTCCAATAGGGATTGTTCAACATCGAAAATAATTTGATGCATACCGCCGGTGTTACAATGCTCAAGCGGGTACCCCCTGACAAAGATGTCAGTGATAAGGCGCTCGAGAAGCAAGAATGAAGGTTCACGGTGATCTGAGAGGGCGGTTAAGGTGGTCACAGATGTTATGATAACATCTTCGTCTCTATCGTCCGACATAGACACAATCTTTTGAAGTATCACGGGCGAAGCAATTGCCGTGCCGAAAACACCGTCCATAAATCATGGCGATCAGCCAAAACAATCCGCAAATTCAGACTGTGATCTCACCATTTTCAGACAGGGTGACAATGGATGTTAGGCCTGCTATCCGAACTGCCTCATCAGGGCTATCAAGCATCAAGATAATTTTCTGGCCCATCTCGCGGTTCGCAATCACTGAAAATGCGGCGTCTGTTGACAGTTGAATGAAAGGAGAAGTGGCACAATCTGAGCAACTACCGTCTTTCACCAGCTTAAACATAACGTTCGAAGCGGCTTGTCGTATGTCACTATCTTGATCTCCAAGAAGGGGAAATATTGTTTGGATCATATCAGGGGTCTGCATTACCACGCGTATGTCTCCTAGTCGGCAATTTGCTATTGGCCGGGAACAATTCTCAAGACGTACTCACCGTGTATTACCAGAGCAGAAAGCGCCTCCAATGTGATGTGTCGTGTCGTCCCATTGTCTGATCGAAGAAACGACGTAATAGCTTGGATGATGGAGGGTTGTGAGATAATGACGCGCACGTCCTCTGATTGCTTTTTTTTCAGCAGTCGACATCGAGCCTGAATGTGTAAGCGCACCGTACTGACAGAAGGCCGCAAGAGCTTCTACAATGGAAGGCATTAACTTGTACTCGGTGTCATCTAGCCTAGACACAATGCTCTCCAGTGTTTTAGGCACCATGAACTTTGAACGAATATCGCCTGGGTACAAATGGGGTTCTGCTTTCCGGAAGTAGCTGAGCCGCTGCGTACGTACCGTGCTGTGAGAGGGCAATGAGACAATCCAATGCAGCTTGTCGAACATCTTCATCGTCGTCTTCCACCATTGAAACCACCCGATATGATATCTTGGGTGTAGTGACTCCATGGCGAAACCCAGCTGACAGAAGGTGATATCAATGGGCAGCGGGAACGAGATGTAGGACTCACAGTATGGTGCGACGGTGGTGATGGCTTCAAGTGCGGCAACACGAACCTCCTGGTTCGCGTTCCCCAGCTTTGAGATAATTTCTGTTTGCA